CAAGCACATACTTTCTTTGAGATAAGAGGATCCCTTTCTTAATTCTCGTCACCTCAACACCCAAGAAATACTTTAGTGTTCCTAAGTCCTTTGTATGAAACTGACTATGAAGAAAAGATTTGAGAGATGAAATACCACCAGAATTATTCCCAGTAATAACAATATCATCAACATAAACAACTAATAGGATGATAGCTGCATACTACTTATAGAAAACGGAATGATCGGACTTGCTCTTCTTCGTGCCAAACTTTTCGATAGCCTGACTTAACTTTCCAAACCAGGCCTGGGAACTTTGCTTCAAGCCATACAAGGATTTACGAAGATAACAAACTCTCTCATACTCCCCCTGAACAACAAAACCAAGTGGTTGCTCCATATAAACCTCCTCCTGAAAATCACCATGAAGGAATGCATTCTTAATGTCTAACTGATGCAGAGGCCAAATATATGTGGCTGCCATGGAAATAAACCTGACAAAAGTAAGTTTAGCAACAGGCGAAAAAGTGTCAAAATAATCAACTCCATATGTTTGAGCANCCAAAGAAATAAATTACCGGACAGACGTAAGTTTAGCAACAGGAGAGAAGGTGTCCGAATAATCAACCCCATATATTAGAGCATATCCCTTAGCAACAAGTCGAGCTTTTAATCTAGCAACGGACCCATCAGGATTGACTTTAACTGTAAACACCCATTTACATCCAATAACCTTTTTACCTGCAGACAAGTGTATCAAGGTCCAAGTACCATTGTCATCTAAAGCATTCATCTCCTCGATCATAGCATTACGTCATCTAGGATGAGATAGAGCATCCTGAACCGTCTTAGGAATAGTGACAGAATCAAGAGATGCAATAAAAGAACAAGAGGATGGTGACAAATTGTTATATGATACAAAAGAAGATACTGGATAAGTACATTGACGTTTACATTTGCGAAGGGCAATAGGAAGACCATCACTAGAACTGGGAGCTGGATCTAATGACGAAGGAACTGCTACAGGACATGAAGCAGGAGGTGTAGGAACAGGGACCGGATCAGGAGCAATAGGTTGTTGGCGGCGAGAGGAAGGAAAGTTAGAACTAGGGGATGTAATAGTATAGATTAATAAATCATCATCCTCTCACTGACTGATAGAACTTGAAGATGAAGCAAATGGTGTTTGTTCTAGAAATGTAACATCAGCTGACACAAAGTACCTGTGAAGATTGGGACAGTAACATCTATATCCTTTTTGCACACGAGAATAGCATTTGGGATCAAGTTTAGTAACATGAGGTCGAACATCCCCAACAAAACAAGTACAACCAAATATCCTAAGTTCAATAGGAAATAATGATTTATAGGAAAAAGGACATGAAAGGGAGTCTCACCTGAAAGAACGGAGGAAGGCATACGGTTAATCAAAAAATAGGCGGTAGAAACGGCATCAACCCAAAAAT